TTTACAGCGAATTGAATTATTAATGGCAAAAACAGCCTTACATCTTAGATACAATCATTGATCCCTTGGGAAGCAACTACGGAAAGACACCGATGAATATCGTGACTTTTCCACCTCTATTTACAAGCCTATTCATTCCAAAACCAAAAACTGACTGCCCACTGAAACCCAGCTGGGCACAAACTTATCTGTCTTACAGTTAATAACTTTTTAACTCATAGAAAATTCCCATTGTAACATTTAGAAAATCAAAACAAGTGATTCAGCGAAGAGACTCTTTTCAACAAATTTATCATCAAGCTGTACAGTCGTATATATATGGTTTTTCAGAAGTAACATCCGGTGAGGGAATTGAATCTTAGGTGTGAATGCATAAAATAGTAATAATATGAAGTTTAATTAAAACTAAAATGTTTGTGATTATAATCGTAGTTAAATGTCAAGTGGCAAGGCAGATTAATGTCATACATGTCCAGTCTAGAAAATGGTTCCCTGAAGCCTATAATCCAAAGCTTTCAAATATATAAAAGGTATGTAGATGACACCTTTATTATTTGTAATATTGATTGTAACCTGAATAATATATTAAGTGTATTTAATGAGTGCCATCGTGCGATAAAATTCACACTCGAAATGGAGAACGAGTCTAGCATTCATTTCCTCGATGTGAACTTATCAGAAGAACCGATGGAACTCTGAAGAGATCGATTTATCGTAAGCTGTTATGGAATGGTGAACTGACAAATTTCTACAGCTGGGTACCCATTGGTCGAAAAAGAAACCTGGTCCGGTCGCTTGCCACTCGTATTCGACGCATATGTAGCACTGATACTGTGGAAGATGAGTTATACACTTTGAGGAAAATCCTAATGGAAAATGGATTTCCACCACGTTTTATAGATAAGAATATACATTCAAAGCCTACATAACGTGACTTATCAACCGCTCCCAAGAAAATACTTTACATGAGCTTAGAATTCAAAGGGGACTTAGCTTCCGATATCATGAAGCGAAGGATATCATAGTCCCTGAAAAGAACATTCCCACTTTGAACTGTCCCCGGTATTATTTCACTTGTCCCACTCTTCATTCTAAATCAATTGTTTTTTACAACGATAAATTCTATGCTATTAAATTTCACACAATATTACGTAACGTTTTTGTTTTATTCGATTTGTCTACTAATCCTATAATTGCACATCCTTTTTCAAGTTCTATCTCTCCTATGAATTATTCTATATATGACATTAATCTGCTTTGCCACTTGACATTTAACTACGATTATAATCACAAACATTTTAGTTTTAATTGAACTTCATATGATTATTATTTTGTGCATTCACACCTAAGATTCAATTCCCTCACCGGATATAACTTATTAAAAAAACCATATATATACGACTGTACAGCCTGATGATAAATTCGTTGAAAAGAGTCTCTTCGCTGAATCACTTGTTTTGATTTTCTAAATAATAACTTTAACATCACCAAGTTCACGGGAACCAGTCAATAGACATCCAGACACGCATAGGACACATTTTGTTAGTTCAACAAGCTGGCCTGATTGAATTTAGTCAATTAACTACGCTTAGGTTCCATGGGCGTCTCAGAGAAACAATGTGTGTCCAAATCCCAAGTTTTGACTGATGAGACCCACTTTACGAATTTGAAAAGGACAATAAAATTAGCGCGGATAACAAATTGTAGTACTATTCTTAGTTATATAGTCAGGCTAATGTATCTCCCAAGCTAGTTGTGGCTTTTACTTTGCTTTCTATTAAAAGAAGGCAATATACATATCACGTTTGATCACTTTACTGAAAGTGCATCACACGACCAAATCTATAAAATGGCTTCATTTATGCAATGTTGAAACCATGAGTGCTATTTATTTCGCAATCAATTGAGTTATGAAGTATGATTAAGTGGACTAATAAGCAATTCGGTACAGTACCCGACGCTTGTTTAGTGAAGTTTACTAGTGCAAATAAACAATAATAGGGTTCAAAAGTTGAAGAAATTACAAGTGCAGATATATCTATCCCATACTCTGATCGGCATAACTGATATCTCGGTATGAAATCACTTTGAATGGGTGCGGTCAACGTCGACTCGAAGAACAACGATCAACTTATACAGCTACCTACCTACACACACCATGATTTACGTAGTAACACCATTACAGTCTTCCACAACGAATAGACTAAACGAGTACTTCATCAACTCAGTTCCAATTTTTTTCCCTATGATGTTTGATTTATTTGCTACTTGCGGGAAACTCAACTAAATGTGAACACAAAATTAATAGGGTGCGTACAGCAACACAAATCTGAATAGTTAGCTATAAAGTGGTTTAATCACACTACTTGCTACATGCTACAAAAAATACAGACTAACAACCTCACACAAACTGGAAGATATGCAAGTCAAAAGCAACAAGTTGGCAGAAGAAGCATCAAAGATAGGCCTTCAGATGGACATAGAGAAAACAGAGGTGATGAAGATTCCTGGCCAACACCAACAACAATCAGCCAGCGGAAATGGGAGGAACCTGAAAGAAACGACCTCCTTCATCTATCCGCCTACCTGGGAAGCATCGTTTCAACTGCAGGCAGACGGGACTGAAGAGGATATCAAAGCAAGGATAGGGAAAGCAAGACAAGCTTTCATTACTCTCAAGTCTGTGTGCAGGAGGTCAACAGCACTCCTCATCATGAAAAAAGAGGTCCGGATTTTCAACTCCAATGTGAAGTCAGTCAGTGCTACTCACTATACGGATCAGAGACTTGCACTGCGCGTCATAAAGAGCACATCAAACAAACTACAGACCATCAAGGGCTGTCTTAGCCCATCACTCAAGATCAGATGGACAAAAAGGATCAGTAATAGGGCCCTTTGGGAGCGAATTAACCAGGAACCGATTGTGAAACAAATAAGCAGGAAGAAATGGAGGTGGATTAGCCATACTCTGAGAAACCATCAAGTGACATCACAAGGCAGGCCATCAGTCGAGTGGAACCCGAATGGGAAGCGGCGAGTCGGTCGTCCGAGGGTGACTTGGAGGAGGCCATGTGATGGGGAGATGAAAGCATGTGGGCAGACTTGGAGCTAGGTGAAAACTCTAGTAAAGAACCTAACGAAATGGAGACGAGCGGCTGAAGCCCTATGTTCCTCTAGGAATTAAAGGAAATAATAATGATAATAACCTCACGATAATTTTACTGAAGACATGTCAGTCAAGAGGTAGCAAACTAGTCATAAAATACAACTTGGCAAGGTTCCTGATATGAACACAATTAAAGTTCTTGGATTTCTTTACGGGTTGACAGGAAATAAAATTACCTAAATCCCAGGATATAGTCTTCAAGAAATACATTTGTTAGATTATTCATTCAATGCATACAAAAAATGTGTCTGAGTAATTCGATCAAACAACTTACTCTTTAGTGTGTATCCACTGAACTGCGAACTTTATTTCAGTGTTCTAGAACGTGTCCGTATCTGACGAAGTTTTCTGCATTAGACTACCAGTATAAAAACACTACTTACAGTCATTCCAATCATATCAACAATAAAAAATACTATATTCTCGTAGGGAGTGAATACAAAGTTGCACGGTAAGAAGTATAACTTTGATAGGAATGAATGGCACGCATGCATTATTCACATGCTCGGCAAAATTTACCAGTCGACGTGAAATCCTTCCTCTCCATTGAATTATCAAAGTCTAACCCGTTTATTCAAGTCTACACAAGGGGAAATCATATCTATGCTGGATATGCACTGTTACACTAAGAGCGCTAGTAGTCTTCAGCAATCAATCGCTGCTATTTGTCGAAGGTGACAACTGTACTACTACTACTACCTATAATGATGTTTCGTGATGGAAAACTGGCTGTCCAAGTTTAAAACTCACAACAATAAAAAATACTACAACAATAGAATGGGCACATGTAAATATATTTGTGCAATAAGCAGACTGAAACCAAATACACTAGCTAAATAGAATAGAAGGAAATTACAAGACAGTATACTTTAAGAAATGATAGGAAAACGGATGGAAGCCAATATGTAAAGCGTACAATGTAAATATAGCTTATAACGTTTGTAGCAATAATCAACAAAACTGGCAATCGAGCACAGTTGGTTATGTGTTCTCCTCATCATCCAAAATAAGCCAAAACAAAAAGAATTGACAAACACCCTTTAAACATCACACATAAAGTGACATTCACGGTAGCCTACATAGCTCTACACACAAAGTGGATGAAAGAACACAGCCGAGTTGAGCATAATAAAAACGATGGGGAAAGTTTATGTGTACAAACCAGCAGAAACAAATACTGGTACAGTTAGATAGATTCATGCAAGTCACAATATGATGAAATAATATACGCTGCCATGAACCTGAAAGGACAATAGTGTAAAAGCGCACACTTATAATAGTAATAAACACGTTTACATGAGAAATATATGTATCCGGATATCTGACATATATCAAAATGAATTTAATAATAGCTGATTAGAGGATGCCGAACACAGCCTAAAATACACGCTTTATAGTAGTGAATTAAAGAATAAAATAAAATATTCACTGAATTGAATAAATTTTAAACATCACACGTAAAATTTAAAGGATCACTAGAGTACAATATTGTCCAGTAAGGACAATGTATGTATGTATGTAGTAATCATCACTTAACTGATGTATTTTTGTATGAAATTAATGGCAATATAGTTCATCATGCAAGATGGTCAAACATGTTTTGCCCGACGAACAGCAACAAATTTTCTCGAAAGAAAACAACACACTGCAGTGATAACTGGTGGTGCAGTAGACAGAAACTCTGACGCTAGTATACACCACGGGAGGTTAAACTGTGAAACCAACATGAAATGTAATTGTCCATACAAGAATTGGAGCCAGATGTAAGGTAAAAACATTCATCTCAACTAAGTTTTCGATCATGTTTTTATAAATAAGGGGGAGATTAGGTACATCAAATTTTTTGGACCTTTTGGCAAACAATCTGGGGGTTGGAACGACGGATTTCTTCTTGACCTGACTCCCGATAGTCAAAGGAGCAATCGTGCGCATCAGAATAACGATGCAGACTACAATATAGGCCACCACAGCGACAAGAGAAACCTGAACAAAGCAAAAGATGTATGTAGAGATTTCATGACTTGTGAAATACGAATACATATTAACACTGAGCAAAAAAACAGCACAGATAACTACTGAATTCGTAGCAATATAAAAGTTGATGGAAGTTACCAACATATTAATTTAAAGCAAGGTAGGATTTACGATAGTATTATTACCTGTCAAACCCACACGTTTATTACAAACGGCACAGCGTGGTCTGGTTTTGGTAACTGGTCCAGAGGAGCACGTCGATGCTGTGAAAGAGAAAATGCAATACAACTTTGTATAAGGGTAATGGTGGAAACATAATGTAGTGTGAGCAAATCGGTACTTAATTGTTTATCTTAATTAATTCACGTCTCATGAGAGATCATTTATTTTCGTTTATTAACTGCCTAATTGTAACTAAACTGCGGCTTGTGAATTCTGTCTGTCTGGATTCAACATAGAACTTGGCACCGAAGTGCAGCAGTTCGAGTTGCCACGTTCCAAATAGCACACAGAGGTAGACAAGAAGATGAGTGGAGAGAATTAATAGAGTTTGACAAATATAGGAGTGAAACAGAATGGGTAATGGTAGAAAGGAATATGAAAGATTACAGAGACTGAATACATCTGCGCCATTGACAACGATTTTGAGCCATGTCACCTATTGTCTCCAGCCATTGATTCCTAGAGTCCCGAGGGCCCCAACCCGGGAGTCTGCATCTCCCTACCTGACTCAGTTTAACTGTCAAGGATTTCATGGATTGATGCCATGTTTTTGTTTGGCCACCACTGGCTCTTTTCCAACCTGAACCTATATCAGCTAACAATGCCCGTCGGGGGAGGCGGTGGTTAGGCATGCGCACCACGTGACCTAGCCATCTTAGTCTATGTAACTTTATAACCTCGTCGATTGATTTTCCCTCTTTGCCCAACACTCTACGCCTAACGTCAACATTACTTATCTTGTGAAACCACCTAACGTGAGACAGAGATCGCAGACATCTATGATCGAAAGCAGTCAACCTTTTCATGTCTTCAACGCGTATTGGCCATGTTTCAGAGCCATAGAGAAGGACGGAGCGAACTGATGAGCAGTACACACGTCCCTTGGTTGATAACCGGATGTCACGCCTACGCCAGAGATGGTGTAAGTCAGCGAAAGCAGCTCGAGCTTTTCGGATCCGTGCTGAGATTTCATCGCCAATCAGTCCGTTGGTGCTAATACAACTTCCCAAGTAGGTGAAGTGGTCAACATGTTCTATCACTTCACTCCCTATCACTAAGTTAGGGGTTGACGTGGTCCAGTCCTGTAGCAGCATCTTACATTTTGCAGGGGCGAATCGCATGCCAAACATACGAAGATTGCTGCTCAAGGTGTTCAGAAGACTCTGCATTTTGTCAGCATCCTCCCCTAACAGGACTATGTCATCTGCATATTCTAAGTCCATTAGATTATTCCCTGGTAACAAGTCGATTCCTAAGTCACTACGTTCAGTTAAGGATACTTCCATTAGCATATCTATGATGAAGTTAAACAGAAATGGGGAAAGTGGACATCCCTGTCGGACACCACTGGTTGTTACTAATTCAGATGACAATTCCCCATAAGCCCTTACACGACTACGTGAGTTTGAATAGAGTGCCTTGATTAGTGCAATGTACTTTCTTGGCACTCCCTTCACAGTCAGACATTGCCATAGTACTTTTCGGTCCACGGAGTCGAAGGCCGCCTTCAAGTCAAGAAATATGACAATTGTTGGACGCCGAAAGGTGTGTCTATGTTCTAGAATCTGTCGAAGAGTGAAGATATGATCTATGCACCCTCTACCTGGTCTAAAGCCTGCTTGATTTTCCCTTGTCTGTTCCTCCCGAGTTCTGCTTAGTCTATGCATGATTACTGAGCCTAGGATTTTAGAGACTATGTTCGTTAGGCTGATCCCCCTATGATTATCACACGAGGACTTGTTTCCCTTCTTGAATATCGGTATAATGAGTGACTTACCCCAGTCTGATGGTACTGTCTCTGATTCCCAGACTTTGCCTAGTACCTCAGTTAATCTACAAACTAGTATGTCACCCCCATATTTAAACACCTCCGGAATAATTCCGTCGGGTCCTGCCGCTTTGCCTCGTTTCAAATTACTGATAGCTTTTGTAACCTCACCTACAGACGGCGGACCAGTGTCTATATCCCATTCGGGTACGTGGTGGATGGCGGGGAGGTTCAGTGTGGCTGTAGGCAAGTTAAATTGTTCCTCAAGGCTTGTGAATTCATCAAGTATCCAAGCAACTAATCTTGAAACGATCATATAATTATTATAAAAAGACTATGGCCGAAAATGAAACATTTAGAGAATGGATAAAATCACACTGGGGAGTATAAAACATCCACTTTCTGTCAGTAAAGGGATTACGCTTTAATAACATGGTCTAAATTCTTCACAAGAATCAGAGCAATAACAAGAAACAGTACGTGCATAGGTCTAACTAATCTGGGATATATGGGGAGTTACTACTATATAAACGTATTTGCAGCTTTCATTAGTTTATTTATACAGATAGACGAGTGTAGAATCTCTAATACAGGCGGATTCATCTGTCACTGCACACCAAAACATAAAGATGAAATGTAATTAGGAGAGATGCAATAGGTAAATTGATTAGATTTTTTATATTTAAAGCTATGTAAATTAGAGTAAAGCCTGAAGACCTAGTTGAAAACAATTTTGTTAGCTTATATGTCCTGTAGTGAAAATAGCCGCAAAACTGGAATACTCCCCTTGTATCTCTTCAGGGAAAACCAGAAGCCTATATATAGAACTATATGCTCGTACTAGCAAGTACAAAAACTCAACCATACCCTACTTAGCTCGTGTTCTGTGCGATAAAGAAAGCATTAGGCGTGAAACCTTTAACTTATTAAGTAGTCAGTAGAACAACTGGATCTCGTCTTTCCAACTCATATCATTTATAAGTACAATGTTTTTCTTTCTTTTCCTTTTCTCCCTCTTTTTTCTTTTATGTGCAGCTTTGTTTCTTTCTTCTGCTTACGCCAGAAAATATGCTAGAACCTACTTTTCTAGCATCTACAAACACTGTTTAATTTAGGCTTTGCTACCGACACGCTAATATGTTGTTGTCAAAACTAACTGAGATTACCCTTAATCTATGTAGAATTTTATTTTATTGTTAATTTACTAACTGGATGCAATACTGAAGTAAATGCTGAGAATTCTATTCTGTATCACAAGTACTGTTTTGGAATAAAGCTATTATTATCAATACTTGAGTCCATTATGGATAAGATTTTATTTTGATAAATCACACAGTGTTGTAGAATAATACTAACTGATGACGTTTGGAGCATAAACTGTCTGTCTGGATTCAACATAGAACTTGGCACCGAAGTGCAGTAGTTCGAGTTGCCACATTCCAAATAGCACACAGAGGTAGACAAGAAGATGAGTGAAGAGAATTAATAGAGTTTGACAAATATAAGAGTGAAACAGAATGGGTAATGGTAGAAAGGAATATGAAAGATTACAGAGATTGAATACATCTGCGCCATTGACAACGATTTTGAGCCATGTCACCTATTGTCTCCAGCCATTGATTCCTAGAGTCCCGAGGGCCCCAACCCGGGAGTCTGCATCTCCCTACCTGACTCAGTTTAACTGTCAAGGATTTCATGGATTGATGCCATGTTTTTGTTTGGCCACCACTGGCTCTTTTCCAACCTGAACCTATATCAGCTAGCAAAGCCCGTCGGGGGAGGCGGTGGTTAGGCATGCGCACCACGTGACCTAGCCATCTTAGTCTATGTAACTTTATAACCTCGTCGATTGATTTTCCCTCTTTGCCCAACACTCTACGCCTAACGTCAACATTACTTATCTTGTGAAACCACCTAACGTGAGACAGAGATCGCAGACATCTATGATCGAAAGCAGTCAACCTTTTCATGTCTTCAACGCGTATTGGCCATGTTTCAGAGCCATAGAGAAGGACGGAGCGAACTGATGAGCAGTACACACGTCCCTTGGTTGATAACCGGATGTCACGCCTACGCCAGAGATGGTGTAAGTCAGCGAAAGCAGCTCGAGCTTTTCGGATCCGTGCTGAGATTTCATCGCCAATCAGTCCGTTGGTGCTAATACAACTTCCCAAGTAGGTGAAGTGGTCAACATGTTCTATCACTTCACTCCCTATCACTAAGTTAGGGGTTGACGTCGTCCAGTCCTGTAGCAGCATCTTACATTTTGCAGGGGCGAATCGCATGCCGAACATACGAAGATTGCTGCTCAAGGTGTTCAGAAGACTCTGCATTTTGTCAGCATCCTCCCCTAACAGGACTATGTCATCTGCATATTCTAAGTCCATTAGATTATTCCCTGGTAACAAGTCGATTCCTAAGTCACTACGTTCAGTTAAGGATACTTCCATTAGCATATCTATGATGAAGTTAAACAGAAATGGGGAAAGTGGACATCCCTGTCGGACACCACTGGTTGTTACTAATTCAGATGACAATTCCCCATAAGCCCTTACACGACTACGTGAGTTTGAATAGAGTGCCTTGATTAGTGCGATGTACTTTCTTGGCACTCCCTTCACAGTCAGACATTGCCATAGTACTTTTCGGTCCACGGAGTCGAAGGCCGCCTTCAAGTCAAGAAATATGACAATTGTTGGACGCCGAAAAGTGTGTCTATGTTCTAGAATCTGTCGAAGAGTGAAGATATGATCTATGCACCCTCTACCTGGTCTAAAGCCTGCTTGATTTTCCCTTGTCTGTTCCTCCCGAGTTCTGCTTAGTCTATGCATGATTACTGAGCCTAGGATTTTAGAGACTATGTTCGTTAGGCTGATCCCCCTATGATTATCACACGAGGACTTGTTTCCCTTCTTGAATATCGGTATAATAAGTGACTTACCCCAGTCTGATGGTACTGTCTCTGATTCCCAGACTTGCCTAGTACCTCAGTTAATCTACAAACTAGTATGTCACCCCGGAGCATAAACTATTGCCACTCATAATCATATCAAGTTACTCACACAACTTATTTCCCTCATTTATATACGTGTGGAATCGATTAGATATTGGAATAAAAATCAATATGAGATAATGTACATTCAGAATTAATAATACGAGTGTTATTTATAGTTATAATAAGTTACTTGTTAGAATGTTGTGATGTATTTGAATTTTAAGATTATTTATTATCCTCTTCTTCTGGAATACTTAAGGGTTTCCAATGCATGAGATTGGAAATTAAAAAGGAAAGGAAAAAGGTGTTATTCAAGAAATACTTGTACTAACCATATAGCTGGTAATGAGCTACACAAGTTGTGAAGATCAGGGATGCTACATAGTGAAGGCAGCTTCCAACCTGTGACTCAGCTGATGGAAGTCGAGGACCTACACCATCATAGCTCCACTACAGAAGTCTGGGAAATATCAATTATGTAATAAACAAAAGCCTACAGTTCTGTTCCGCCATCACGCTTGGGTATACCGAATGGCATTTACAAATGGCGAATTAATGAAACAAGGGGGCCTAATGTGAAATCAAAAAGTGTGACTTTTAGTGTTAAGAGATGACTTTGGAACCACTTGTCTATCGCAAAATACAGGGACACTGATACCGAATAACACGGTTGACTACACCTTTTTGTAGCTGTTACAAATACATGTGAGAAAAGTAATGACGCAGGTCCGCATAAACTTGCAATTAAAAGAGGTGGGTTTATTAAAACGGCAGGGCGGCGGAAAAGGATAATATTTGATCACCGAAACTTCAAGAATAGACTTATGGGGTTATCGAAACAGACAAGAATCACAATCATAATAAGTTGGCGACTCGAACTTACACCTGTTTACAATATATGCAAGTATAAATCAAGTTAAGACATTTTAATTACATCGAAACCCTATCCTGCACATCCGGTCTTTTAGATACATACATAAACGAAGCACAACATGAGCATTAATGCATATATATACATAAGTAACTTACCAGGTGAGTCCGCTTTACTATCCGACCTTAAATCATCATTCAAGGAGTCTGGTAACCCACCAGCGGACACGTCGGCTTCTGCATTTAATTCGGGGGCTGAAGAAGTAAAGTTAGACTCATGTTTAACGTCAAGTGAAGAATCTGAATGGGATTCGGCAGAAATCTTAATGGTCACGGGAGGTACCAACGAGGATTCACGTTTTGGAGAATTTTCAGCTGAAAGGCAACGAAAGTGAAATAGTTAAAGCGGTGCGGAGCCATAGGAATGGCATTTCAGATGTTAAACAACAGTACACAAATTCGTAGTCAGTGATATAGGCATACTTGAATTTTACTAACCATTGATCCATTTTTTATACGGGGAGTAATTGGAATACCAAAATCGTCTCGTTGGCATTTAGGTGAGACATTCCAATTCCGTGTGGTGTCCGGTAAAAAGTCGCACACGTATACATCAAATCCACACTTAACTAGTTAGTTCAACATTTAGATACATTTATCTCTGGCTTCGGAAAAAGCAGAATATAAGGCACCGATTTACCGAGTCCTAATTTCTGCCATCCATTTGATGAGTCAAGATTCACACAACACTGAAAACGAAGGGTGTTTTAAAAGAAAGTGATTAACCAAGCCTTCCTGACTTGTACGCAACACTAACTCTATTCTTTAGAAACCCAGTTGCTTACTCCTTTTGTAATAATAATAGGTATGACTAGTTAGTTACTTACAATGGGGTTTTTGATGGAGGACGAGCGATTATCCAAATGACTTCATTAAAGTCTGGAAACTTACACATTTTGATCTCCCTTTCAATGACTGGAGGAATAATAGGGTACACTAAGCGCCTCTTTATTCGTGATAAGGGCCGATAATCTTTCCATTCAAAAAAAACTACACTTCAATAAATTTCAGCAATATTGCAATTAATAGTTCTTAAAGTTTGCACCGATTTCAATAGCACTGAGATTTGCACACATATAATTTTGGCCTGCCTTATTTTCACTTGGTGTTCAATAAATAAGGTACTATTCCGTAAAATCTTGGTCACAGTTCATACACATTATTCACACAAAGCCTCCAGCGAATGACTGCACTCATTAGTCATGGCTTTCCCGCTGAAATACAGCATTGACATTTTCACTCGGATTATTGAGGAGTAAGTTTAGCGTACGCCAATAATCAAGGATTAAAAGGGCATTATTAATCAACATCCGTCAGCTAAAGAGGACCTCAGAGAATAAGGACAAAGTGGGAACGTACTGCTGAAGCCCTATTTTCTACTGGGAACCCAAGGGAATATTAACGATATATGCAATATAAGAATAAAACTTGTGCACTGTGATAAAGTATAATCCCATCATGGGTAAAACTTGTTTTGATAAAGTCTCACAGTGTTATCCAGTAATGTTCACTGATCAGTAAACATGACACAGACTGTCAAAACAAATTTTACCCACAGTGGATGTATACAATAGTCATTAACACTTTTCACCGTTTGCTCTCCTCACAGTATATGTAATGACATGCGCTCACCCTAGAAAATACTGGTGTCTAAATACCAAGAAAGAGTGTATACAAGTTATGCAAGTGCCTGATAAATGGATAGCGGACTACATGGGCCATGAATACTATGATGACAGTATGGCACAGATCAGGTGAATTTAGATGTCAGCCGACTGCCAAAGTGGGAAAATAGTACAGCTACACTGCTACATGCGGACAAAAGACTCAGTATTTGTTGTATAATCCTACTAAGCGAAAGCATGAAGAACGCAATTTATCAAAATGTGGTAAGATATCCAATTCTGTCATACCAGATGATCCAGTGATTTTCATACTCCTTTCCGAAGATAGTTTATCGTCGAATTCAGAGGTTACTCTGGACACAGCCTGAGCACTTTCAGCTTGAGCCTGCATACTTCGGTGACATTTTGAACAAAATCCATCGAAACTGGGACTACCATAAAATCCGCATCCCTTACGACATAACAAAGGGATATTCTGTGACTGATCGTTTTCCTCCATTATTTACGTGACAAAAGTTTGCAGAAATCGAGAAGTCTATTTAGTGGATATAAATCGAGAGAAGCACAAACTGTTAGTTCTAACGCTACGGCCTTTACGAAGATGACTAAGGAATCTGCCAAAATTGGCGCCCTAGACCCCTAAGTATTTTCCAACAAAACAAGTACTCTGAAATAAAAATTGAAACTTTAATTCCATTTACAAAAAAAGGAGGCTGTAAGATATTCGCTGCGACGTAAATGGTTGCTAGTGATGATTTTAGTCTACATAAAATGGACCATTTCCTAGTTTCTCTTCATGTTTTAGGTTGCATGAGGGTAGCCGGGGGATACAGTTGAAACTATCACATATTCAGCATGTGAAGCGTTTTTCAGTCATCAGTGTAGTTGACAGACTCTGTGACACATAGGAAGAAGGAAATTAAGTACGAGAAAGATTCATGGGTTAACTTCATTGCTCTGGAAATATCCAACTACTTCGACCACAAATTAATTCATGTGAAGTTTTAGGTATAATAAAACTAGGATTGACATATATGGTCCACTTTAGAACCTGTTACTTGAAATACATGTAGGTGGCAATTAGGTTTATAGATCGGAAGTTGGAAGAAGGCGAAATTAAACTCTCTAGCCTGGAACAGACTTTCTACTAACTAGAATGTGATCCGTACTATCTGTTTGGAAAACTGGTGTTACTCGGAAGCAGGAAATGGAACAAGTAGATTTATATCCCATACAGTGACCCATTGTCTGCAATCAAATCACACATTCGATGAGCAAGAAAACACCCCATTTTTTAAAATGTAGTATTCCACAATCATACGTTCCTTACTCGTGATTATGATAGCTGAATCTACACCTTCACCATTGAGCTGCTGTCTTTCATAACGTAAAACACCCTCAAGTGGTTGTGATATTTGATACAGTCAAATTACCAAACTGCGGTTACCGTATTTCACAGCTTAAAGACACACTGACTTGACTGTTGAGTGTTCGTGTAAGTACCATGGGCATTCCGTGGGAACATTCCAAGGTCTCCTCGGCGTATGTCCAATCTATCTCCACTTTCTCCTACATATTTGTTGAGCAGTCCCCTCATGGTCGATTTGTTCCCAGACAGAATTTCTTGTTGCTAATTCTTTCTGGTCGACCGCTTGATCTTCAGTATACAGTCAGCAAGGGCAGCAGTTGATAAACATCTCAGTTGTTGGAAATCCTTTTCGAGACGTGCAGTGCAAGTTTCTGACCGGTGTAGAATCACTGACTGACTTTACATTGGTGTTGAAAATCCTAATCTTGTTGGTGTTTATGCTGGCTGAATGCAGAAGATTTCCATACTGGTTTTAGGTTGATGAAGGCATATCTTGCTTTTGTGATTCTGACTATTTTACCTGCGACCGCCTGTTCTACTTTGGTTGCCGGTCAGTCTACCGTAGAATCGTCTTTTTTCTTTCCCGGCACTCTTCTTTACATTTTTCTTTATTCAGTGCAGTGAAGAGTGAACTCAGCTTTTCCTTCTCTTCCCCATCTTTGCACAGGTTCATCTTCTCCTTCACTACCCTCCTCCCTTTTATTCTGTTAGCTTCCAGGTATCCCTTGACAGCCATTCCTCATCGTGTTTCTTTTTCGTTCCTAGAACAGTTGTACACGCCTACTTGGAAATTACATTCACAGAGTTAATTCCAGTGTTCTTCCAAGCGGGTTGCCTCAGCGATATCACGTAGTATCTCCGCATTTGCTCTGATCTGATCCGTAGTGAATGTATCTCTTGTAGTCTCGCGCCTCAGTTTCTGAATGATAAATTTGTCTCTATTTGTTTTCAATGATTTCATCTTCACCCTGAGGGTTCTGTAAGAGTTCTACTACGGCTTAGAGTGGACCTATACTCTAAACACCCTTACAAACTTCTTCACCGTTTTGGCGACCTACTAAGCTTAGCAGTACACTACTGGACGCGCAAATACTGACGAACTGTATCGTTGTAAAAAGACTTGATGTGACAAGAGTACCTGGGAGAATTATATTTTATTCGACGAAATATAAAATTCAATAAATAAAGAAGTCGTACAACTTATCTGCAGACGTTGCTGGAGGTAGGCTCGGAGAGTGTGCAGAAGGAGAGCACAACAAGAGAGCGAACCTATGAACGTAAGGAAGACTCACAAGTCAAAAGGTAAAACGTGGATCACCGTGGGTGAGTCAGTTTAAACAAAAGTTCAAAGGTACAATGTGCACTACAGGTTATCCCCCCCTAGAAGGTTGGTGGGAAACCAGCAAGCTTCGATATACAACAGTAGGATGGCTTGGCACAGTAGCAATGGGTGAATGAGAAGGTTTGAAAATAGCAATAGTAAAAAAAAGAAATTTCACCGAAAGGAAAGAAAGCAAAAGAAAAGAGAAAAAAATTAAGATAAGTTGGAAGTGGTATGTACATGATTAGTGAAGTAAGACGGAATATGATAAGAAATGGCGCTGGTGCCTTGTGTGGTTGTAAGCTTCTGCGGTCTGATGTTTTTTTTTTTTTTTTTTTTTTTTTTTTTTTTCATATTTTTATTAATCTTTTTTTTTTATTGTATCGATTCATTCTTTTTTTTTTAATTCCGCACTATTACAAGCTTACTTATGTGGAGGTTTGATGGTAAACCTCTGGCGCCGAGGCTGTCGTAGCAAGAAGGTGATTCATTATGTCTAACTTTCATATTAGACCAATGCTCCCTTCCTCCGCTTCAACAGAACCTAGCAGTCATGTTAAAGGCAATCATTATACCAGCGTATGATAAGGAGCAGGGTAAAAAAAAACAGAAGAAAATGGGAAAGAAAGGTTAAGATTTCAAAATCGGTGTAAAGGTACTACAAAAGCTTGTGCGAAATCAATGCGAGGAAAAGTGGTGCAACTTGGAAGTAGTACGTTAGAATGAGATAAAACAAAGGAAGTTTCTACCCTGTGAGAACTTATAAAATTACAGAGAAGTTAGTACATAACCCATAGCTATGAGTAGTTATCATTACCAAAATTACTTTGTTCATGTTGCTAAGTGCATAACTAAGATGATGCATAATGTTTATAAGTACGGTTCACAAAATAAATGAATTGCGGGAGGGCATAAACCCGAAGGAATATAGTACAGGCTGTGAAAATAAATTGAGCGAATTACTATGTACAGCATAGAAGTGAAGCATTTATGCGCAAAAAAAAATATGTATATCTGTACATTTAACTATACAGTGGAAGTTTTTTTTTTGTTTTTTTTTATAATCTTTTTTTTATTTAAAAATAATTTTTTTTGTTTATTTATTATTATTTTACATTTTTTTTACTTTTTTTTTAAATATATTTTATAAAATTTTTTTTTTTACATAATAATTAAATTTTTTTTTTGGAAAGGTAATATACTATTCATAATTCCTCTTTTGGTGTGGGTTACAAGATGACATGAGACGCCAACTGATCTAGCGAGTAGATTGATATGAAAAATTAGGGGTAAAAACAAACTGCTGCTGGTCCTCTGTAACGAGAGATAAAGATTAAAAGGATTAGTGAGGGTTAAAACGACTACTCCCAGAAGCGGGACCAAATAGATTAAATATAGCAGAATTGAATAAGAAATTGTGACAAGGAATAAAAAATCACTAGTAGCCTTACCTATGGATTAGTTCAGTGAAAGAATTCTACGAACCTCTTGGGCCAGTGAACACGTCGACCAGCACGTGTGACAGGGGTCTTACTGGTGACGGTAGGAGAATCATCATTCACCACCGGAGGTGAGGTAGTTGAGTCTGGACAAGGACTAGGTTCAGTGGGGCTATTTGATTGAGCCGATGGGGAGGGTGAAGGTTCTTCAGTGTATGCCGCTTTAAGTCTGTCTATGCTGACAGTGTCTGGGCGGCCGCATCGGTCAATAACGAAAAATTTATCTTTACGACTAAGGACCTTAAAAGGCCCGTCATACGGTGGTTGTAATGGCTTTCGTATGGCGTCGTGACGCACGAAAACGTGTGTACAGTCATCAAGTCGCCGATCAACCTGAACCTTTCGGTTCTGAGTGCGTGTGGAAACTGGTCGGAGTCGCTGCATAAAACTTTTAAGTTGCTGAGCGTAACGGGTGGTATCCGGGAAATTTGGCTCGAAAGTTTCGGGAGCGATTAGCTCGCCTGGTAAACGCATGGTGGTACCGTACACCAATTCAGCTGGCGAGCACTGCAGATCCCCCTTAAGCGTAGCCCGGATGCTAAGCAGGACCAGTGGTAGCGAATCTGTCCACTTACTGTTGTCCACTGCCATCAACGCAGCTTTGAGTTGACGGTGGAAACGTTCTACTAGGCCATTTGCCGCGGGATGATACGCGGTTGTGCGAATGCGTTTGCATCCCAGCATCTCTAACAATTCTTTGAAGCTTGTGGATTCAAACTGTTGTCCGCGGTCGGTAGTGACAGTTGCGGGACATCCAAAATGGGCAACCCAGCCATCCATGAAGGCACGACAGACGGTTTGAGCCGTTACATCAGGTATCGGAATGGCTTCCGGCCAACGTGTGAAACGATCCACACATGTGAGTAAATACGAGCAGCCGTTAGACGGGGGCAGAGGCCCTACTATATCCAGGTGGATATGATGGAACCGAGCGTCTGGGGTCGCAAACGTCCCCAACGGCGTGATGTTATGCTTGGTGACTTTAGCACGTTGGCATTGCACACAAGCACGTGTCCATTGACGCACATCACGGTTCATACCGGGCCACGCAAATCTCGCAGAAATCAACTTGTCCGTTGCTCGTATGCCAGGATGGGAGAGGTTGTGGAGTGACTCAAACACAGTTCGGCGTAAAGACGTGGGAACAATCGGTCGAGGAGTACCAGTTGACATATCGCAAAGTATAGTTGCCTCACTGTTTAGCAAGGGGACGCGTTCTATTTTCAGTGAGGTTTTATTTGACAGGTGTTCTAAGTTCAAATCGTTCAGTTGGAGTTCGGCCATTTTATGAAGATCGATGGTTGGTGGTA